TACAACCCTGCATTAATTAATAAATCAACTACCACCCACACCGTAATCAATAATCTCTAAAGTGCCATCAGCTCTGTCTTCATAGTGCAACCTCCCTTGATTCACTTATCGTCTTTTTTCCAATTCTCAAATATGGCTGCTATGGAGGCAGGCGATTCACATATAATTGTATACTTTCCACACTCAACACAAAGGTCAACCCAGTGATATATGCCAAAAAACCTCAGCACAAGGTTCAATAAAATAACCACTGTCAGAGCTATAATATCAACATTACCACCGTCAGACCTATATATCAACATTACCACAGCCAGACCTATATATCAACATTACCACTGCCAGACCTTTATATAAACGTTACAACTGCCAGACCTCTATATCAACATTAACACTGCCAGACCTCTATATCAACATTATCACTGCCAGACCTTTATATAAACGTTACAACTGCCAGACCTCTATATCAACATTACCACCGTCAGACCTCTATATCAACATTACCACTGCCAGACTTTTATATAAATGTTACAACTGCCAGACCTCTTTATCAACATTACCACCGTCAGACCTCTATATCAACACTACCACTGCCAGACCTCTATATCAACATTACCACTATGGCTTTATATCAAACACAACAAACAAATCAGAGAATTATTTTAGCCATTCCACACATCTCTGCTCACAGTACATATTATCATGAAGTAATATACATATTGTGAGAAGGTAGTCCAAGTCAGGTCCCATTCACAATAGGAGACTAACTAGTCTAATGGTCAAATATGGTGACCCACTAAAAAAAACGTGCCATCTAATCTGCTAATAGACACTGAATAGATATCCCGTGGGGAAGTATCCAAGTGGGTCGGCCATATTTGACCCTCAGACTAGTTAGTCCACTGCTCTGAATGTGGCCAAAGATTTGCACTTAATGCCTTTCACATACCAAGGCAAAATGAGTCAGTGGCAAATGTATGGCTCCGACTTATTCCAGATCATTGTGGCTAGACAATGAGACAAATTAAAGATTTAACTTCAATCTTCCCAAGGCGTGACGTCAGCCAAAGGTTATTTGAGTCATGTTGCCATGGCAACTGCTGTGTGTACTGAAGGAACCCTCCAGAGCCCTCAGCTAATGTTCTCTCTCCTCATCTGTCCATAATTTCCCGTCTTCTGTGACTCAACACACCCAGCAGACCAAAACAACAGCAGTACCAATTACTAAGACTGCCCTGAGAAATCGAATTTCCATCATTTCACTTTGGAAATGGCCATTTTGAAGATCTATGTCTTCTGTACATAGCACTAACCAGGCTCCTGGTGCATGAGCAGATACATGCTTTAGTTCCCATTGGATCTTATCAGCCGAAGATATATTCAGACTTTAACCACAAATGTCTTAACTCACTTCTCTAGACACCAACATTTTATTGAGGTCTTAATTACAGGGCTAGACACTAACTTTTGTGAGCACCTGTCCTTCGGACAGGTGCTCATATATTTGACCTGTCCGAATTTCAATCCAACCTGTCCACAAAACCAATATTTTTTTCTATTCATACCTTTGAACTTTGTCAATTAATACGTGTAGTCATACATTTAAATTAATGTATATTACCAAAACATTCAATCATATGAGCCCCGAAAATGCACCTTAAAGTGAATTTATGTTCAGATAAAAATTTGTTTTTTCATACTTGTGAACTCCTGAAGATTTAATCTTGCATATAAGTCTGATATTTGCTTCTCCTAGGATTTGGGGTACAGGGTCTACTAATTGTAAGTCTGCAATTTGATAACAGATTCACATGAAGTTTAACCAAAGCTAAAAAAAAAAACCTGAGCGGGAAGTGGGGAGGTGGTACTGTTAAAATAATTTTATAAAAATATTCAAATTTTATAATATTTGGATAAAGTTCAATGACAATTAAAGAATATTCATTTTATAATACTTTACTTATATTTATGTCAACAATTTATCTTCTTAAGGGGTTATCACATGTTTGATTTTTTAAAAATATATGAATTAAATCAAATCAGCATAAAAAGGTTCCCCTTCTTTCTATTTAAATTCTCATATTTGTTATTACTTATTTCTTCCTTACATCAATATAACACTGGTATATGAGAGCAATGTTAATTTATCATATTCCAGCACTAAATTTTAAACTGTAAATAACAGAGGTGAGGCTAGTCATTAAAGAAAGCATCATACAAAATTTCAGGTTATATTTTGGCAAATAAACAACATTTCAACAAGATCTTCAGTCCCAAAAATTTCACTTTCTATAGTGAGTAGATAGCATACCACGTGTTTGATTGACAGGCAGTATGTTGCCTTGACGACGAACTAGATATAGCCAGTTCATCCAGTCCAATCTGGCTCCAGCACAGTACTTGTGTAGTTTCTGTTTTTGGAAGTGTCTTTATTACTAGAGCACGTAGATTTTAACTAAATAAATGTTCAGTAGTGAACCTGATATGTGAATAAATTTTGTCTGATGAAGTTCTGGAGGGTGTTCACTTTCATAATTTGGCGGTAAGTTTGCTCAGACTTCGTTTTGCGACTGCATGTGTTTTGTGCCAAAAGTAGGTCACTCTTTTCAATGTTGTCTAGGAAGAGGCAAAAAGACGTTAGTATGCATCATAAAATGATTTTTTAAAGATTTTTGATCCAAATTTCTCATAAAACATGACCTGTCCGTCGGACAGCCAACCCTGCAACTTCACCTGTCCGAACTGAATTTTTACCTGTCCCGGACAGGCGGACAGGGGCTAATGTCGAGCCCTGAATTAAATCACATATAGTGAGATGCACACTAGATCTGGTCACAGTATTCTCTCCATGTCTACACCTTCATTCCAGGTAGTTCATAAGACCACACTTAGACCCCATTCCCATAGACACCATCAGCCTACAGGGCTAGACACTAACTTTTGTGAGCACCTGTCCTTCGGAGCCCTGGCCTATGTAGATAAATTCAACTCTGCCGGGACTCTCACTGAGTGCATTCAGCTTAACTGAATGACAGGCCTCCTGGAGCATCTAGGGGGTAATTAGCTTTTATGTGTGCTCAGCTCCCCTAAGCTCTTTCACATTGTACGTTCTGAGTGCAACCAATGTGTCCAGGTAGTTTCCAGAAACTGTGCACATATGGAAGTTAAACTGGGTTCCCATAAACCTATTGTACTATCAGGACCTATCTTACTCTGAGGGGATTCTCACTAAATTGCATTCAATTTAAGTGTCTTAAATGTCTATCATGCCTACTGAAGCTGCTAGGGGGTATAAACTTTCGTGCATGCTTAAGCTAAATGCAATTTAGGAAGAAACCCCTCGGAGACAGATCGAACCTGCTAGTACGATAGGGAATGGGAATGGACCCTTAGTTACAAAGTGTGTAGCAGCACAGTAAAGTGGCCTGGGCTGGCCTGGCCTATGGGAAGCAGGCAGGGCAAAGTGGGTATTACGGGGGAGCATCCCCATTTCACCTGCCAATGGTCATTGTTTCTTTTGTAGCGATTTTTTTAAATACATGATATATGCCTTTATTTTTACTCTTGTGTCAACAATTTGTTCAAGTAGTCTTTGCTATTTACCTAATTTCCTTGTCTTACTTTTTGGATAATTGGGGGAGAAACATGTTCTATCTTAATTGATCATTGATACATTCATTATCTTCCTTGAGTCATCAAGTATCACAGTAGGAGATATAGTTTTTTCTATGGATGAATGATTAATCCTACCTTGTAGGAAATATGGGGGATAAGTGTGTGCGGTCTTTATTTACATATCCTTTAATTATCCCCCATTTTCATAACTATATATCATATTATTTTTAATCATATATTTTATAAATGACTAGCTTCTGAGCTTGTGAGCATTTGGCTACATAAATGCAACTTTGCAACCCCCAAACAAAAGTAGTTAATGAATGGCACCACACCCTCAACACAGGTAGTTCATGACTGGTTCCAAACCCCCAAAACACAGGTAGCTCATGACTGGTTCCAAACCCCCAAAACACAGGTAGCTCATGACTGGTTCCAAACCCCCAAAACACAGGTAGCTCATGACTGGTTCCAAATCCCAANCCCAAAACACAGGTAGTTCATGGCTGGTTCCAAACCCCCAAACAAAGGTAGTTCATGGTTGGCTCCAAACCCCCAAACACAGGTAGCTTATGACTTGCACCATGAATGGCATGTCTTCCCATGTCAACTGTAGGCTAAGGATTCCAAACCACAGCTGCAGGAAACATGAAGGTCCTTCACACATCATTATCTAACCAGACTGTTAAGTCATGAAAACTTGTTTGTAACTTTGCAGGAAATTGCAGGAGATAACCATGGATACAGCCATGCCTGGCACCTACTTATCGTACCATTCCAAACTATCTGCTTACGTCAACTTGTTTTAAGAAAACTGTTACAATCAGGTTTCCATGTAAACTGCCCACTTCATAGCACTGATATACCAAACAAAGGAATATGCAAACTAGGTCTGACAGTGAGGGGAATCAGAAGACATCAGTCAAGATGCTAGCACATTCTCACATTTAAGAATTCATTAGTCTTATCTCCTGTGTTGCCAGAAGAAAGTTAAAATTGGCTGGTGCACCTAATCACCAACATCTCCAGGGGGAGCATCACTGGGTACAGTGACAAATGACCCACTCACTGCAGGCTATAATCATACTTTTTAAGGGAGTAATGGCAGAAAGGATGTCACAGATGACAATTCCTAAATAAAAGATGATGACATCCTCTAATCAAAAAGCCCTGGCCTTCATTACATGCCTACAATCCAACATTTACTCAGCTTATTGCTGAACCTAAGATGTATTTTTATTCGGTGATTTCTTGTTTCCTGTCCAGTGATGTCAGAGTTGAGGCAGAACCACTTGCTTTTTATCTTTCACAGACGTCCTCCGCTTCCAGGAAAGCAATTCCAGTTGATCACATGCACTGTCACTCAGCTCTCCACTTTAATCGTCCAAATAGGAATAGACTGAGGCCCTAGGCACATGGATATATAACCCATGGTTTATCCACAGTCAGGGCAACAGAAAATTCTGTGACGGCCCTGAGTGCATAGACAACTTCCAGTAATGACAGTGATATTACCAGAGGACAATGAAGTAGAAATAATTGCGGCAATTGTCTGGTAACTTTCTCTCAGGTAATGTGGGATCCCACTCTCTCCACACACTATAAAACTGGAATATTGCACTCAGAGGACCACAAACGCAGCACTTGGAGCACACAGCGAGAACTACCGCAATCTGAAGGCACTCCAACCCCACAGACGGAACTACGGAATTCTGACGGCACTGAAACAGGACAAAACTCCAACCAAGCTGCTGTGACAGTTTTTGCACATTCTGATACATTTTGTTACAATTTTATATATTGTACCAAATCAGTGACAAACTTTGGATTTGATCTTTTTTTTCACATTTTGTTACAATTGAATACATTGTAACAAATCAGTGACAAACTTGGGATTGTATTTTGTTACATTTTGTAACTGAGAAACACTCTTGTGTGTAACATACTATAACATTATTGCATACCTGAACAACTGTAGCCAACTGTGACTTACATCACCGTACAGCATGCAAAGTTCATCATCATTATACTGCACCCTGGTGCTGGGGGTTTTCCTAGGATTATTTCACCTGATACTGGCTCACCCACCCTCCTCTCCCCACAGTTTGGACTACTGGGACACAGCAGTGCCCTCACAGGACGATCAATACCAGGACAACACAGAGGCAGCTGACCCTCAACAGGACAATGCATTGCACATTCAGGACTACACCAACGTCCAGTTAAAACTACTGAAAGTTTTGTGGGAACTCAGAAATATCATCACAGAACAGCAGAAAGAGGAAAGTGAGGGTGAGTACAGATCTGGTTTGTTGAAAACAGGGTGGGACACTAGGAAAGGGACGGGGAGAAGTGTCATACTTTTGTTGCCTTTATTCAAGGTAAAGAAAAACAATTTTGCTCATCTTTACCCTTAAACATGAACTGTCACTGTCTTTATTACCTAAGTTTTCCTTACATAAACAAGTCTTGTGCATTGCATTCTGGGCATTTAAAATATCACTTAATAAAAAAATGCACATACAGACACAAAAAAGAAAAATATTGCAACAATGTTTTTCTCCTTGTGATCATTCTCATTATCAGATATTTTCTTGTTTTTCATTATCACACCCCTTATTCACCTAGTGTAAGATAAGATTTTGTCTTGGATTTTATCAAAAAGTAGCAGTATTTATATACATATTATACATATACATATGCTTTAATACATTTATTAATCTGTTTAGTTATTTTAGCATTTATTGAACCATTTAGTTGTACGTTTCCATTCTTTCCTAATTTTCTTTTCCTTTTTTTACTGCCTTTGTCAATATTTATTTCTTTTTTGTCCTCAAAAGGACAGTGTATAATGTTCTATGCAGATTGAATCCTTTCTCTTTTGAATAAACATTGGTTTTAAAAAATTTACTCCTGGTAAAAGTTTTTGCTAACTAACATTTAGTCAAAATGTGCATTGCTGATAGACAACATTTTACACAGATTTGTCCAGTGGTAATTTACCTCTGAGGGTAAGACTAGAGAAATGGCTCCCCCTCCCCCATCCAACAGGAGTTGATTTACTTCCTCCAACTTTGGCCGCTGACTACAACCTTGGTCATATCACAACATACTTAAATGAAAACATTTCTGATTCTAGCGGCAGACTCAGCGTCCCTAAAAGAATCAAAGAGGAACCGCTGGGGTGCCTTCCTAGACCTGTCAGAGGTGAAAACGTGCTGCCGTAATGGAAACAGAAACTGCTGCGCCACACTAGGAAGGCCAGTACACCATGGTAGATGTTGTTACACCCCACACGCACATCTACACCACTATCACATCTTAGTTTATGTGGTTACTAGTCGACAGCACTAATTACTTTTGTCACAACTACTTATTCTGTTATACCCCCCATACCTACATCTACACCACTATCACATCTTAGTTTAAGTGGTTACTAGTCGACAGCACTTTTTACTTTTATCACAACTATTTAGTCAATATGACAATCCTTAGAGATGGGTCGTCATCATTTATCCTGTCTTATTTATAATGTCCTTCTCTTGATCTTGAAGCTGACTCTTTGCACTCTTTAAAAGTTTATGTGCAAGTATGCCTGAGAAATGTTAAGTTTTTGAGAATGCCTTGGTTTGCACTGTTATCTTCTATTTTCTCTATTAATGTTCATGGTGTTTTATGAATGACATTATTTTATTATTTTTATTGCCATTTTATTTTATTATTATCAGTATATTTAATAACTTTATCAGGCGTACTGGGATTTTCATGGAATGAGCTATACAAGAAGTCAATATCACAAATTCTAGGCAGACTGTAATTGTTCTCAAGCATGCTCTCAACAGTCTTATCAATGTTTTTCTTTTTCTTGAATCTTCAAAAGATGTCAGAAACTTTGACAATAAATAATCATGTTGGTTATCAATGTTCCATGTTTAAAGGGCACTATGGCTGACTGTTGTTGTTGTCGCTATTGTTGTTGTTCTTAATGTTGTTGACATCATGTATCTTAACACCATTTTGATGTAACAAAAACATGAACATGATTGTAAGCAAGGCAGCAAAGATTGGACGTCACTTTTTTTTTCAAGTTTTATCTGTGAATGTTTTCATTATTTTTGTTTTTTCTTCTCTCCAACAGAAGGCTGAGATAGCAACTGCATGAGGCAACAATGGTAGGTGGGCAATGGAGCTATTCTGGTTCTTCTACAGCCCCTTTGAAATACAATTCACATTTTATTTGTAATTGCATGGTTCTAGAAATCTAAGAAGTTGTGTATGCTCTGTTCTTTATTCAAAAATCCCATCAGAAAAACTATCAGTCAAAATAACTATCAGATATCTAAGGTATAATTTAACACTATCAGGCATTTGACATTTTTATGCAAGACATTGACATTTGAAAAAATCTGCATCCTGCAAAAATAATATAGTGCATTCCTATAAACAGATTTAACCCTAAGGACTATGAATCACCTATGTGACTAAGGCAACAGATACCTGTCCTAACCTATACAATACACCTCCACAGAACAAAACATGACACCAAAATTTCACAACTTATTTGGAAGTTGTCTGCAGATCCATTTTCTTTTTCAGCTAGGCCGTCCCTTCTTGTTACCAGTACACCAGTGCCACCTAGTGACAGCATCAAAGCCGTCTGCTCCTCTGAGGAGGCAGAGGCACAAAGACTGTGTGCATTTCTTCAGCAACAAATGGAAATCTACTGTAAATCTCTGGACCTGTTTCACGCTGGTCTGGGACTTCAGCAGCTGGGCCTCAGTGTTCAAAACATCAGGACCACGCTGCTGGGGGACCCATCAGACATACCTTGTTAACCTACTGACTTCACTGCAAGGGGACACCCCCTGGAGCAACCCCTAGGGGCATGCCCCGAGATACCCCCTAGGGATATACCCCTGGGTTCAATAGAACTGACTGACGACAATAAGCCTCTAAAATCTTTAATCACTTTTCTGTGGCATCCAAAGTGAGGAAGATGCAAACCTGCAATTTTGTGTATTTAATTGTTTTCACAACTTTCATAAAATTGTTCAAATACCCCAAATACGCCTAACATTTTCAAAACTTTTACATTAGAACTATCAAGCATTTTCAGAAGGAAATAAAAATGTCCACAGGACAGAAACTATGAGGCTGCTGCATTAAAAATCATGTTTTTTGATTAAGTTACGATAATTCATATGACACAAGTTAGACAGAACAAATGCAGTCAAGATCAATAGTTCCATTTTGAATTTAAAAATCATTCCACACAGAAATAGTGGTATCAATTTGACATTTAATTTTTCTGAACAATTTAATTGCTGCAGGATAGGGATAAATAAACCAAGTTCATATGAAACCTTTTCAGGCTTCAGAGTATTTATTTGGTTTGCACCTCAATCCGACACACATAAATCATCATTTATTCTCATGCAAGTATGACCAGGTCTTAATTTTAAACAAATTTTATTACTGGATCCTAAGATTTGTGGGCAAAAATGCCCAAATTGACGACTCCAGCCACAAACCATGTGTTTGCTTATATACCCATTTGGTACCTTCCGTATGAGCTGAAGATGGTCAAGAATGCATTGTTGACGTATTAATAGTCCTTTGTTGATAAAAAGAACCCATATATGTACAGCCAGAGACCCAGATGGAACGGGCTAAATTATGTGTGCAATGAAACGCTAAGCTTGGGGCAAATAATTCTACATTGGGGGTAGTAAATTTGCGGCTGGAGTCATTAATTTGTGCATTCGTGCTCACAAATCTAAGGGTTATGTTCATAAATGTCTAAACCTTTATGAAGCCAGTATGACATACCTTTCAAATGTGTATTCACTCTCCGCCCTGAAGAAATAAACATGATTCTTGAATTGTAGTTTGAAGACGTAGTCTTTGTGTATGTCATCCACCTCGCTGGGGGTGCTAACGGAATAGCCAAGCAGGGGGAGGCTGGCAAGGGGGAAGTCATCCTGAAAGTATACAATACAGAAGTACCATATTAGATAGGACAGTGGGAATTTTTGTATCTGTATGAAAACTTGTAAAACTCTAAGCAAAACCACTTTCGTCTAAATGCTTTTTTTGTAACAGAATTTTCTAATGTTGGGCTAACTCAGCTTTGTCTATGTCTCAGCATGATTGGGTAGCATAACAAAGCTAGCTAGTGCAAAGAAGAAGCATTTGTTAAACACAGATGCCCAATATTGTTCTCTGTTTCTTGGTCAGACAAGGTTTTTGTATTGGCCATCTCAATGTGAACACAATATCAATAGGGGTTATCTACATATTACGTCTAATGTCCCTTCCAAATATGAAGACCACAAACCAAATTGTTTTCTATTTGTTTGTTGCTGGAACAAGGTCTGGTCATGTAAAGCAATATACCTCATTTCTTCATAGGGGGCATAATTGTTTATGGTAAAGGAAAATGAAAAGGTCCCAAAAACCTGCATAAGCCGCATTCACATCGAGAAGAGCCGAGGCTCTACAAAGCCGAGGCCTACAAAGCCAAGAACTAAATATGGCGGATGTACATGAAAGAAAAAACGCCTAATCTTTTAACAGTCTCTCTGCCTCTCACACGCCTCCCAACGCGTCGTCCCTGCGGGGGTACAGTCATTAAAGCTTGGCTCCATTGGGACGATGCGTGGGGAGGCGTGTGAGAGGTCAAGAGACCATTAAAGGATTAGGCGGTTTTCCTTTCATGTACGTCTGACATATTTAGTTCTTGGCTTTGTAGAGCCTCAGCTCTTCTCGATGTGAATGCGGCCATAGACTAAACAATAGTAATCTAAGCAAGCTGGTTTTTTAAACTGGATTCCATTACTTTTTATTATAGTGCCATGTGTCATTTCTTAAGTTTGAAAATAACAAATGACATGGCTTTCTTTAAATCACATTTAGGAGGAATGTGGAAACTACTGCTTATGGCCCTGACAGATGAAGTGCTGGCTTTAAGTCCAGACACAGTGGTTTTCAAAGGGACATGCTTCTCATCAAATTTTAAGTAAAAGACATAATTATGCTTTTGTATTTAATGAGTGAATGTCACAAAAACATGTAAAACTGAAAATGTTTAATTTGGGCTTTGCAATCAAATTAACACATCTGTTTACATAAATATACATGTGGTCATTATAACTACATCTTTGATAATTATCAACCGCTTCCTACTATTTCACAGAGAGATGACGCAGGGATTTGTAGAGACAAACTTCTAAAGATGGCGCCGTCTTCCTTGGAGGCTTAGTTTCATTGCTGCCACAAATCCCCATCAATAGCAGTGCTGCAATCAGTTCCACACAAACAACCATATTATAGCAATCATACTTATCGGCATGCTTCCTGTCACTGGGAGAACACAATAAGGTGTCTGGTCACACAGATGTCAACCTGCCATAACTCACCCACTCCTCACACCTCATCTCTGCTAATAGCTTATTATTTCAAGATTTGGTTGTTTAAAAACACATCATCTTCTAGGCGTGTAACTAACAAAACACTTATTGCTCATAGAAATTAATGAATTTGGTTGATTGGAGAAAATTCTATCTGAATCAAACTTCAAACGATCTTTTCAAAGGGGAAAATTGTGAATTTTACAGATACTGTATTTTTTAGTCAGAATTTCTTAAAATTAGTACATTCCTATTGAGTGGCAGCGACAAAATTAAAAGGCAGACTACTCTATTATTCCATGAAATATGCAGTAAAAGCACTACAATTGCTATATAGATATCTCATTTTTATGATTATAAAATTGCATCATTCTGAAAATTTCATAATTTTTGCCTACTGGAAAAAGCTAGTCTCCAAATATTTATGAAAGGTCAAAAGAACCAGCTTTTTTTTTTTTTCATTTTTTCTTCGGGGCCACACAGCAAAAGCACACTTTTTCAGCTGTAACACATATACCTTCCAAGCTATCCAAATAATAATTTCCTCTGGCCCTATATATTATACACTACATAGTGGCACGGGGATCAATATTCCTACCTGAAATGTCTTGTAGAAGAAGAGACAGAAATTGGTGAAGACTACCCACAATTTCTGCCAGCCATTACTGTTCTTAAACTTCCTCAGCAGATAGCCACTTAACTGGTTCTGAAAATAAAGAAACAAATACTGATGTGAGCACTGAATGGTACAGTGTGATAGTTGTGACAGCCACTTCACTGGTTCTGGAAATATAACAACAATTACAGATGTGAGCACTTAATGTTACAGTGTGATAGTTGTGACAGCCACTTCTGCTCACTGGTTCTGGAAATAAAGCAACAATTACTGATGTGCATGCTATGTCACAGTGTGTTAGAATACAGTGTTGTGAAGCAGCATTGTAACATTGTGCATCAACTAACATTGTATTGTGTAGCAAGGTTTGCTATTTCTCACTTTGATGGCTGTGTTATAACATTGTATTGTGTAGAAAGATTTGCTGTGTCTCATTTTCATGGCTGTGTTATAACATTGTATTGTGTAGCAAGATTTGCTGTGTCTCATTTTCATGGCTGTGTTATAACATTGTGTTGTGTAGCAAGATTTGTTGTGTCTCAACTTGATGCTGGAACAAGGTTTTTGTTATAACATTTCTAGGTTGTGCAGGAAGTTTTGCTGTGTTTCTCACCTTGATGGCTGTGTTGTGGTCCTTCATACTGACGCTGGTGTTTCGGTGCCAGCATACATGCATGGTGGTATTGGCGCGGTGCTGGGACTGCTTCTCTGGAGGCGATGAGGGTGCTGGGTCTGACACATCTATGTTCTCTGAGGAACCTGAACAGATGACACAAGATATATACAGATACATGGGGGAGGGCTTAATATTCAGAGGACATACATGGAGAAATTTTACTAAAACAATCAAAATCATTAAACTGAAACAATATCAAAATCATTTAACTCAAATGATATACCTGGTGATGGTTGAAAATAGTACCAGTTAAAAAAAAGGCCGAATCTTCTGATATACAAATCTTTTCAGAGAAATTGCAAGCAATGATCCATACACTCCCTTAGTGAATACAGTCTGTCTAATGCAGCACTCACTCGTACTGGAATAATGTGAATAAAATCTGCCTAATGCAGCATTCAATTGTACCATCTCACTTATACATTACTCACTTGTACTGGACTTGAGACTGGGCTGTTTCTGAAGGTGGATATCGTCTCCTTTCACACGTACCAGCTGGATGGAATCTGTCAGGTCTTCGACCCATTTATCCTTCTCTTCCTGGGAGCTGAAAAATCAACAGGCTGCTGTTATGGAACTGTTGCATCAAACACACTTACACATATAAGACAGTGTGATATCTAATACACTGTCAAACCTAACAGAAACTTAACAAAATGTGATACCTAACACACTGTCACAACTGACACATTGTAAAACATAACAAACTGTCATACCTAATACAGTCTCACCAAACAAAATGTGATACCTAACACATTATTACACCTGACACAATGGCACACCTAACACACTGCACACCTGACACAATGGCACACCTAACACACTGCACACCTGACACAATGGCACACCTAACACACTGCACACCTGACAATGGCACACCTAACGCACTGCACACCTGACACAATGGCACACCTAACACACTGCACACCTGACACACCTAACTCACTGTCACACCTAACACTGCCTCACCAAGCAGTCTGTTACACTTAACACACCTAACATGGCTGACACACGTGTACTGACCTGGCTGCTACTAGTAGGCACCTGTTTCCACTGAATATGGTGAAACTGTTGGCGACAGCCATCTTGGGGTCAGTTTCCTCTACATACATGTTCCTCAGTGGCAGCTGCCCGTGGACTTTGAACTGCTGACTGGGAGTGGCCGACCTGCTGGTGTAGACCAACATGTCTGACAGCTGGAAGGGAGAATTTTACAACTGTTTTAAATAAGTTCTCTGATATTCCTGTTATCCTGGCAGAACTAAAACTGATTTGGTTCAAGTGTGTTTTTGCCAGACAAGAAACTGGAAAACATAACTTACCAAGAAGAACATCTTTTGCTTTAACTTACCAAGAAGAACATCTTTTGCTTTAACTTACCAAGAAGAACATTCTTTGCTGATATCCTTTCCTGGAAAGTTTCTGGAGACAGCCTTCTCGGATAAATTCCTAGAAATATTTCAACACCATTGTGTTAATTCTCAAACATCAAGAAACATGAATAACTAATCAAATATCTAAACCAAACTCCAGTATATGTGATAAATAACTTTATATCTCTTTTTTTAGAGGCTTACCAAAAACTTATGACATCCTCATGATAGTTAAAACATGCAGTAAAACAGATAGGATGCATCTTATTCATAATGTAAACATCTAAAAATAGAATTTTACTGTGATCACTATGCTTCAAATCACCCAAGTTACAACAAGCACTTACCCTGGCAGGCTGAACCAAGTTGTCTATTCCTAACAGGTCTCTTTGTAACTCCAGAAGTTTGTGCAAGTTTTCCTACAACAGAAATAGTATGTATAATCTTTGTAGCAATCCCATCTGTTAACCANAATCAAGCGCCATAAATAAATCACGTGCTACGGTTGTGACTAGATATTGTGTTGAAACGCAGCTCTGTCGCAATGGTTGAAATGCGACGTTCCTCTGACGCATCGTTCGTCCAGTCCGCGACCACGTTAAAACGAGAATTCCGGAACAAAATATAGTACCAGAAAATTTTATAACTGGACGCAAAAAACCGGAATTCCGGTAAAAACCGGAAGACTAGCATCCCTGTAACCAGCCTGAATGTCTAAGAGTTGGGAACACAGTTATCTAAGAAAACCGGACCTCTATTACAGAACTTCGCACAATGAACTATCCTCTCTTATTCTCATAAAGCAATAATCATTGAGACCTAATAAGATCACTCAATTCAGAGTAGATAATATCACAATGTTAGTATCAAGTGGACAGTACCACATGGTCAACACCACAAGGTCAGTGCATGGTTGGCACCACAGAAGTATGTGTACCAACTTTTTCCATGATGCATTGCTCCCACACTGAGAAGTGTGGAGATACTCACAAAACTTCTCACGGCATCTACAGAGGCACAGGTGTCTTCAGTTATTTTAATACTGATACTTACCAAACTTCTCATTGTGTCTGCAGAGGCACTGGTGACTTCAGCTATTTTAATAAGGGAAGCTGGAAATAAAAATATAAATTAAACAAACAGTTTGCAAAAGAGGTAGCGAAGTTTACATTAATTTGTAATTTAGAATATATTTTGCATTTTATTGACCATTTATACAAATATTTAATTATATAAAATGACTGCAGTGTATTTTTTATAAAACACCATTATTCTTTACTTAGGAGACTAACTAATTGAGACGAATATGACATTTTGGTCCATGATCTATAAACCTTGGTCACTTGAATGGTGATTTTGATGATTATTTGGACATGTAAACTGCTACTCATAAGTTGCGTCTAATAAGTCCGACTTTAATTTACTTAGTCTCTAAGTAGAGAATAATTCCTATCTGCAGACCGTGAACAACCTCTTTCATAGTTAACAACAGTACTGGAGATGGAGACTTACATTTACAATCCTTGTAGTCTGGGTGATCTGCATAATAATGTGCCAGTAACCCTGGAAACAAAACAATATCTTTGTAAATTGCTGTATAAACCTGGCCCATATTTCAAAAATAATAAAACCACTTTGGGGACGAAAGCTTACCCTTGAAGCATTTTGCCTTTAATAAACACTACTGTTAAAGATAACAGATATAGGTGGCAGTTTACCAAGACAGCCCACACTGGTACTTACTTTCAAGGATCAGTTGGTAATGCATCAGCCTCTGTGCTGGCTTCAGGAAGAAGGAGTAAAGAGGAAGATAGCAGACTTTTTGTGACTCAAAGTCCTTTAAAAGCTGCTCGAAATTTTTATCCTGTTTCATCGTGTTCTCGAAGCCCATTAAGATCTCTTCATGGTGGTCTATATAGTTCTTGTACAACTGAAATGGAAATAGTTTTTTACTAAGATTCAAAATACTTTCAATTACTCTTTACAAATTACTAAAAAAGGGGCTGGTAAGATCACATTTAAATGATGGTGTTAGGCCAACTTTGCCAGAATCCAGGGAAGTGCCTGGATCAGTATCAAATTACCCAGGACTCAGGAAGCACCAAATTCAAGATGTATGATGAAAAGCTTACCTGAAACACATAGTTAACACTGTGAATGACGACAAATTTAAACAAGATTGCTTTCATATAAATAAGAGTTAAAACAAACCTGCAAAACCTTTAAGTTATTTAACATGATGTCTCCTATTCTTTGGTAATCTCCATTCAGATGTGCATTGGATTTCCCCTCCCTGGAATGACAGAAACACAATCAGTTTCAACACTGTCACAACTTACACACTTTACAGCTGTCACACACTTTAAGTTACCTGGATGCCTTTTGGCACTTTATTAATGTCTCTAAACTGACAGAGGCCATCATAACCACACAGGGACCCCTGCATATATGGCAATCATTTCTTGTTTCACATTTCACCCAAAAATGCGTATATGCCTAACCTGGAAACATTGGTGTATTTTTTCTTTTCCAAAATGAGATTCATGAAAACCCATCAAGGTGTACATTTAAGCATGGTTCTTGTCTCTTATTTGTGCTAATAAGTGAAAAAGACATGATTATCACTACAATCAATTTAACATGTCATGATGTAATGTCAGTCTTACCACATGGCCAGCCTCTGTTCTATTTCCTTCAAAAAAATTACAGTTATTTCTATTATCAATTTGACATGTCATGACATGATGTCAGTCTTACCACATGGCCAGCCTCTGTTCTATTTCCTTCAGAAAATTACAGTTATTTCTATTATCAATTTGACGTGTCATGACATGATGTCAGTCTTACCACATGGCCAGCCTCTGTTCTATTTCCTTCAGAAAACTACAGTTATTTCCATTATCACTACAAACAATTTGACAAGTCATGACATGTCAGTCTTACCACATGGCCAGCCTCTGTTCTATTTCCTTCAGGAAGCTGCAGTGGAACTCGTAGATGGGGTCCAGGTGGGTAAACAGCAGCTGCGAAAGGTAGTCTGGCATGGCCGTGTCCTTACTGACTGCGTTACGAAACCACTGGAAGACAGAACATATTTTGAACATACCACATGACACATCAACTACTTCAGTCACACGCTCAACCTGAATTTGAACCTTATCAATATTCTGGTCAGGATACACAGTTTTAAGTGCAATACCCCATTTGAAGTCCTCCTATTACATACTATAGTTATCACTAACTGGCGGTAGAGGGGAGAAAAGAGGGTACAATCAAAGGCTTTCTAAACAAGACTTTTTTTAAACTGTTCATATGATCAGTGCATTACATCTTTGTGTGTGACCATATGAGTGCCTTACCACAGTCATGACTTCCAGGTCTTTTTTGTAGGTTCTCTCTGTCATCAGGAGTTCTTTGGCAACATAGTATGACTTGTCAGGTGGGAAACGCTGGAATCATACAGGAACAGGTAAGACAAGAACAACACAGGAAAAACAAGCA